AAAAAAAAAAAAAAAAAAAAAAAAAACCTCGCCGACCTCTTCCAACCAAGCAGCTCCCAAATCTAAACTTGAAATTGATGACAAGCAGCTCCCATATCTCAAAAATACTATCTGATTAGCAGTTGATCGATTGATGACAAGAGGTAGTAACTCCACCACATAGTGCAGTATCTTGGTGGCTGTTTGGAGAGAAAGTGTGTAGAGGGTCGGCTTAGGGTCTCTTCACCCTTGTCATTTCCTTCAATTCCACCATTCTAACCTCGCCTGCAAAATTCACAAATATGGTCTAATCTGGATTTACTCTTTAATCCAATCCATCATTATCAATTGGGCAATTTTTGTTTGGAAGAGGGTTGCGGAAGAGTAAAGAGAGAAGATCACCGATGTTCTAGATAATCATTGTAGTAATATAAAACTATGAACCAGTTATTAATCCCACATATAGGTCAATTAACCACTAATAGCAATCACAAGCTAATAAACAAGTAATAGGCTCACCGAAAATCAAACAAGTGCAACTTCTGCAATAATAACTTCGTATACAGCTAATAAACCCTTCAAGATAAATACAGGATTCGCAATAATTCATTAAAAATAATCATGAGCACCATTTGAAATGACTTTTCATTTGGGAATTATATCGAAAACCTTCTAAGAAATAACCGGAATGATAAATGGACTATTAACAAAGTGCTATTCGTGTTTTAGAGGGTCATATCTCCCTCACTATAATTTCATCTTACCTATGTCTTTAGAAGTTCCCAACCAAACTACCACCTTAAGGTTTTGACTATATAGTTTGCATACAGGGCCCTGCACCAGAAAATATAAATTTTATCCGACCAGTTCAAGAAATTATCTGCTTCTAGAATTACCACTCAGGAAAAGAATGCAATGTTGTTTAACTTTTAACCAACAGAAGAGACCATTCATATTTGGTATTAGAATTATCCGATGCACTCCCAAAAAGGTGTATATGTTATGTTAATCCAGACCTCTAAACAATCGGTGTTACACTCTTTCTTCTACAAAAATTCAGAATGGCACAAGTGAACACAATTGTAACACAAAAAAAAAA